CACCTTTTAAATGGAAATTTAAAAAAATATTTGTATGAAGAATTGTTCCTCCCTTGTAAAATTCAGGAATAGTTAAATGGGGAGTTTCATTTGGCTTCCATGGTACAAAGCAGTCTATAAATGCAAAATAGTTTAAAAAATAAATATTGAGCACAGTTGCTGTTGTCCATTTCTAATTTACTCACTATCATAGTATTTGTCAAGTAAGGTGAAAATTTATTTTTGATTATTTCAGTTTTCTCAGTGGTACAAGACAGTACATAAAGAAGAAATTCATGCTAATCAGTGGCAGTCATGGGCTGGAGGCTGGATTTTTTTGAGGTTTTTTTTGCTTGACTGTTTTTTTACCTCTTGACAGAATTTTGTTGTTGGCCCATCCTCTGCTGATTCAGCAAACTCAGTCCAAGGAAGCTTCTCTCTTGTGCAAAAAGCAAAGGGCATGGCTAGAAAACACCCATGCAAGACAAAACTTTTAAAAAAAGTTCATGTCATAAGAAAAACACACTGTATGCATAAATACAGATAAAAAATTGAACACTTAAGAAACTATTTTCCTGGTTTAAAGGTAAATGCTATTTAGATCTATTTTTAGCAAGGGTAAGGAGTTTTGGACCCACACAGAGCAAAGTAGAAAAGAAAGATTGCACTTAGTGAAGTCTTATGGGAAGTTAAAGTACAAAATACCCTTCAGCCAGTGGCATACACTTTCTGTGAATAACCTGCTTTCACAACTCAGGCCTTCATTTTGGCTTTTGCCTCTCTTAAGCCTTAAAGACTCCATCTTAATTAAAACTAGGTTTTTTTCGATTTTCGTATCTGTCTAGAAAAGAAAATCTGAAGTTCTGGAAGAAAAATAATGAGGGAATGATTACATGAAGAAAGCCCACGCCTACAAATGTCACTGTTGCAGCACACACTTCAATATAACAGACGTCACGTACACCTTCCATACAGTTCTGCTAAGACTCTTTGTTTTTTCCTTTAGAAAGCAAATCAGTAAAGTCAGCTGCTGTATCTTGGAAGACCTCTGCTGTTTACTTACAAGACATACTTCTAGTACAGGATACTTGTTAAAATAAAAGGAACTTGACCTAGAAGGAATAACAGAAAATACTCACTCCAAGCCTCCTGGAAACAAACTATGTTGACCCCACACATTGCAGCTACTTCCACAATCTCCTCAATCCGTCTGTGCAGGGCAGCCACCTGATTGCAAGAAGTGTCACACTATAAAAAATGCTGTATGTTCAACTCATTTGTATATTAATAGCCTGGTTTTACAAGCTTGTTCACATTAAATTTATCTTGTTCTATACTTAGTCCCATTGCTTTCAGGGAGAATAACTCAAGAACTTATCATTCCTGAGCACTGATAATAGAAAGAGATACAGATTTTTAAAAGCATTTAGATGCTGAAAATAGAGAAAGCATTCCAATGGAATTCTAATTCCATGGTTACAGCATTTAAATATATGGCAACTCATTGCGGACTGACTTGCAAATAGCTAAAATTCTTAACAGAATCAGCAAAAATTATAATTTTGCTGCTCATTGTAAACAACCTACAGAACACCGTTAAGTAAATGTGAATTCAAAGTCAAGTACTCAGAATCTTAACATATGAGGCAAGGACAGTCCATTTCCTTGGTTGTCACCGAATCCTGCTCACGTGTGGATCCTGGACACTCTACAGAAATTATTAACTCCAAACTATTTTCAAAATCACTTTGTCCAATCAGCTAACTGGATAATTGCCAAGAAAAAACATCAAAGCACTTATTAATTAGTCAAAAAACATTATTTCAAAGTACTACTTGAGTATTCTAATTGAAGCTAAGCATAGGTGTAGCATTTTGCATTGATACTTTCAGGTTCAACAGTGACCTAGGCACTCAACAATCGTACATTGATTTACAGAAATAGTTAACTATTTATTTATAAGGTAAAATAATTAACATAACTAGCAGTCTTTTTAACAGATGCTACAAAGAATGCACAAACTTCATCCAAATACTGAATTAATTACTTGCATCTGTGACAGGTAATCTTTCCAAAACAAATTACCTCAGAAATGTTCTGTCCCGTTACTGTAGAAAATTACTACTCCAGGGGATTTTATAAATGTGTTATTTTCTTTTATTTTTTTAAAGCTACTTTTAGAAGGCTATTTCTATATATGTCACCTCAGTGCTTTTGTGTCCAAGATACCAGGATATGATGGTCACCTTGTAATAAGATTTAGTTTACTGCTGTACAAAGAATAATGAACACAGCTTTATTAATCTGTGTTTACTCTAATGGATTTTTCAATAATGGAACATTGCTCAATTAAAACAAGAACTGCACCTGTGGTTCCCATGGGTTGCCATCTCTTTTGATTTTAGGCAAATGATTTTCTGTTCCATTTTAGAGGCAAAGGATTTTCATGTACAAAAACAGTGACCAAATATTTAGCTTTGGAAAAAACTGCAAACAGGTTGGGCAATTCACAGGTAAACACAAGGGACATTTCTGAGAAACATAAAACTGAATGTGTCACTCTTAATTTCTTACAGTATGCTGTATTAAGATAGTGATGGGTCCTATATTGCCAGACAATCAGATTTCACCCTAGAGTTTCTGACATCAGCGACTGAGACATGTTATTTCTCAATCCAGTAGAATAGGAGTTACACACAAATGGCCCAGATCCCAGTTTGTGTACCTGGGATGCCACGGAGGTGTCTGTGGGAAGTGGAATTTTATTTTGTACCAGTCCTACTCGAACAATACGTGGCCTTCTCAATTGCTCTGAAGCGGCTTCAAATCCATAGCCCTGCAGCTCAAATTCTCTTTCCTGAGCTGCTGATAGAGCAGCAGACGGCAAATTAAGTTTTCTGGATTGAACAGGGAACAAAAAACATTTCAAGATGAGTCGGTCTCCTCTTCTGCTCTACATGCAACAGATCAAAAGGATCTTAAATACTGCCTACCCCTGCACAGACACCCTACCTCCCATGCCCCATATGCAACTATCAGACAAGGCAACAGTCAGACAGCAGTCAGGTCACGCACATCTCACTGCTCTCTTCCATGGCAGCAAACTCCCAGTGTCCTCCCCTATAACTGTGATTTCCAGACCCTATTTCCTTGCTATGGAAATCGAGGCGCACACATGTACAAACCTTCATCTGCCACCCCCAGATTATAAAACACTTTCCCTCCAACATATTTTAACTCATGTCAGATCCCCACTTTTCCAGCTCCCTCACCCCGAAGCCACAACCTCCCCAGCCCGCCCTCAAAATTATCCCCCTCAGGTCTTTAATTCCAGTCAGCCACCTTCTCAAACGACCTCTCTTCCCGCCCTGCTCCCCAAACTTGGATTACCTCCAAACTACGCCGGTTATCTCACCACAGCCTGACCTCACCGCAGCGCCACAGCACCAACCCTGCTTTTTCCTTTCAGACCAGCCCTGTATCCCGCGCACCCCTCCTCAAACCGACTCCTTCCCCCTCAACTCCCGGGCCGGGCATCCCCGCGGAGCCCGAGGGGGAGGGAGGAGGGAGACGGGACGGCGGAGGGAGGGCAGCCCGTCCCCGGCAGCGCACCTTGCCTCGCCCCCGTAGAGGATCCGCTTCACCTCGGCGAGGTCCTCGGGCGGGATGTGCTGCTCCAAGCACGCCTCCACCGACTCCAGCCCATCCGCCATGGCGCGCCAGGGGACGAGGCGACAGTTGGGCACGCGCTGACCGTTAGACGGGCGCACGCGCCCCCCGGCGAACTTTACCCCCCCGGGGCGGCCCCCGCCGGGCCACGCCCCTTTCTCCTCAGAGGGGTTTTGGCGGGCGCCGCCGAGGGGCTGCGCCATGGCGGCCGGGGCACACAGCCCCAGCTCACCTCCCGGGCCGTGAAGGGTCTCCGCCATGGCACGGAGGGGTTTGGGCTCCCAGCCCCGGTGTGAAGGCGGTAGCAGTAGTAGGGCCGGTCCCCCTTTCGTTGTCGCAGGGCTGGTGGGCACCCTGTGCCCTGGTGGCTAACCCCGAGATGCCCCAAGGGGTTAAAGAGGGATGGATGTGACCATTCCCAGCATTTATCACTTCTGGACCAGCTCCTCAGCCTCAGAAATAACTTGTCTAAAAGCAGAATGTCTTCAGGAGCTTTTTGTGGACTCTTTCCAGTGGTTCCCAGTGACAGGACGAGGGGCAACGGGCACAAGCTGGAATATGGGAAGTTCCACTCAAATATGAGGAGGAACTTCTTTCCAGTGAGGGTGGCAGAGCCCAGGAACAGGCTGCCCAGGGAGGGTGTGGAGTCCCCTTCTCTGGAGATCTTCAAACCCCGTCTGGATGCTCCCGAGTGATGTGCTCTGGGCAACCCTGCTTTGGCAGGGGAGTTGGACTAGATGATCTCTAGAAGGTCCCTTCCAAATCCAACAGGTCTGTGATCCTGTGATTCAACAAATAGGAGGTCATAACATGGACACGCACACACCCGTGCAAACCATTGCCAGTTTAGTTGCAGTAAGACTGAACAGGAGCCAGTAAGAAAAAATAATTTTGTCCCTAACACGGGTTTGAGGCCCAATGTGATTGGAAATTCATCTCAAAGCTAAAGTTCATGTCAGAGAAATGATTGAACAAATCAAGACCTTGATCTGGGACAAAAGAAACGTGCATCTAAATAAAGGCTATTTCTTTCTGCGGGTACAAAGTAGACACCCTGTTTAAACCAGTTCCTCCCACTGAACTATTGGCTCTGCCTCCTGCTTCAAAACGCAATTGAAATTCCCAGCATGGTAATCGGTTTTCTTGTTAAAATGAAGGACTAAGTCCAGGGGTGGCTATACATGTCTAAATATATCACACCAACTTTAAGCACTGCTTTATGTATCTTCTGGGGGATGTAACAACATTCAGCACTTGGCATTCGCAGTTGTTAGGTATTTTGAGTTAAATATTAAGCCTTTTAGGCTACATAAAAAAAAAAAATAATAATGTCAGGGAGAGAGTGTCTAATATTTAACTTTAAACAGAAAGTGTCCAGGGGTAGTCCGGTTTCATCAAGGCGTTTTGAGGTAAGTGATTCTTTTGCTCTAATCCACCTTTTTTTAACCCAAGAAGTGGCAGCGATGCTCTGTGCCAAGTGCCCCAGGGCAGAGGTGCTGCTCTCCTGCTCTGAGGGGCAGGAACTCTTCCAAGAAACTCCTGAAGAGAAGACTGACTCCTTTAGACAGCAAGTGGGAAAATCCTTTAGTCTTTGGGGGAATTTTCAAGCTAAGCTAAAGTTAGAGATGACGGATAGTATGCTATAAAGCAAAAAATGGTAAATTCGAAAGTGAAGGAAACCCCCCCCCTCATTTGAAAGGAATGAACTTTTTAAAAGTCTGGATAACTAGTACATCGTGTGAGTATTTGCCTTGCACTTGAAAGTGTAGCATCTCCCCGTTCATGACCAAGGGCCGAAAAGGGATTCCTATTCTTAGGAATTATTTTTCTTTCCCAAACATACTTCTGAAGGGCAATAGTAAGCAGTGACTGATACTTACATGGTATTTTTCATCTGACGATCCTAATTTGCTCTAATGGCCAGTTTTAAGGGTACATATCAGTAACATTTTGTTCTGTTCGTGGCTGGCAGATCTTTGAACATTGCAGAATGGGAGATCAATGCAAAAATCAGCTGACAATACAGGAGGGAAACGAGGAGACCAAGTGAGTTCATTCCCATATCAGCATACTCAGGATGTCAGCTAACAGATAAAGCATTTCTGGAGGATTCGTGGAAACAAACAGAAGAGCCTGAGCTTCTCTGGGAACTGTTCAACTTCTTTTCTGCCTGGACTGCAAATTAAAGGGAAAAACAGCAGGTTGATTTTGTATCCAGCTCCTGAAGAAGGTCACATAACTGAACTTTTCTCTTCAAGCTTCTATTCTTAGTGTGAACTTTCACTGACTTCTCTATTGGAGCCTTGTTTGTTTGTAATTTAGTAAATTGTACTACATGTAGGAAATGGACTTCATGGCAATAAAACTGAAGCCCCTGAAAAGAATACTCACGAACAGTCGAGACCTGAGAAAACAGTACATTTCCTGTGCACCGTATCAACCATCCTGCAACAACACGGTGAGGTCCAGACTGCGTGAATAGGAAATGACAAGCCTAGAATTACTAATAATGATGAAAGGAGATGGGGCTATTCCATAGGGACTACGCGTATAAAAAGGTATAACTCTAGCCAACGCAATAAACCTTCAAAGCACAAAATGTTAATGTTGAGCAGGAAAGTAACCTAATAAAGGAAGATGCCTTCCATAGCCCAGACAAACCATATTAGAGAGCCTGGATTTAAGTCTGAATGTTCCACCTCACTCATTGCAATTATCGGTTAAGTATGATGCTCGAATCCAGCTCCCAGCTCTGGGTTTGACTTCTTCAACCCTCTGTATTTAAACTTCTTCCCAGTTCTGCGTTACCTGGACCAAGTAACTCTTTTGGGAAATAGCTGAACCTTTTGGTATGAACCCAGGCTGTAATAACCGGTTTAGAGGAAAATAAATTGGATACAGAAGTCAGGGCCACACAGTGTAATCTGAACAGAAAGCAGTTCTTGTGTGGCTTCTGTGTTGAAACCCTGTGTTGCAGAGACACCACCTCAGAGCTCGAACTGGGGTTTGATAACACTGGTCCACACACTCTGTGCTTCAAGGCTGTTCCCAAGAGTTCCCGTAAAACCCCACAATAGCACCCTGGCATTAGTCAGAAGCACCCTGGAGATTGAATTTAAGAGACAAATATCTAGAGTTCAGGCTAAAATTGGGAAAGACCCAAGAAAAGATTTAAACAAACAAACAAAATCTTTCCACTGTAACCCAAGATAGGAGCAAAGGCTGAACAGCATCACGTATCAGAGCTAGTAGGCAGGACCGTAGGCAGCATTTCTCTCTTTCCTTCCTAAGTTAGTCATATGTGGATGTAGTCCCTCTGAATCACCTAGCTTCTTACAAACCCTGCTGCTGTCACGCGAATCATGTTTCCACACACTTTCTTCTGCTGCCATTCGTTGAAATGGGTCACACAGAGTTCCCCAGAGCAGCTGAATAAATTAATAACTTACGTCCCTAATGCAATCCCTATCTCGGATCACCCATGGGGTCACGCTGCTTGTTATGAACACCTATCAAGGGATTTAGGTGGACGTGGATCCAAACATGTCCTGTAAAGCCACATGGTATTGATGCTCTAAACTTGCTTTCTAGATGCTGCAACACCATTTAAAATGACCTTCTACACTGCCCTTCTCCAGTGGCCACAAAATAATGTACTGAATTGTACTGCAAAATAAATCACTGAAATAAATCTTTAAATTGCTTCACCTCAAATACTGATTCCCTTGCTTCATATGAAGATATAAACCAATTATCTTAGAATGTACCTAATTCAAAACATTTCAAGTGTAAGAGACAGGCAGTGAAGGGTAATTAGCATAATAAAAGTCGTAAGAGAAGAGACAGGTCTAAAATATAGGAGGAAGATAAAACACTAGCTTCATGCTACTTAGTACACAGCTAAAAGGAGGAAGATGGGAAACTTCTTTTCTGTCCTGCTTTGGTTTATAAATTGATACAAACGAGCTTTAAGGGGGTTGTGATGAAGGAAAACCAACATTCTCTATTTTAAAGTCACTCCTTTGTACCATGACCTATTGCTAATAACGCTTAACTTGGGTGGGATTTTGGGGGGTATGGGGTTTTTGTTTGTTGGGGGTTTGGGTTGGGGTTTTTTTGCCTTTGCACTGGTTACATACAAAGAGCTCTTTTCCCAATTCTACTTAAATCTTTACAAGTATTTTTATCAGTTTTAGAAATAGGTCTCTACATAAACTTAAGCCAAAGCGAAGCTGAGGATTTTGATAGGGATGGAAGATTCTGGTCTGTGTTTAGATTCCCTGCCTTTCCCATGGACTCTGCAAAAGCCACAGGTACAATCACCTATAGAGTAGGGGAGCCAAATTATAAACCTCATATGGTTGGCTCCGTGTCATCTGCTGTTGGCTTCCTGCTGTTCTGAAGGCTGGGTGAGGGGAAGTGGCTGAAAACTGAGGAAGTTTATTGTTGACAATACGTTTTGTCTGCTCTCAGGCATGGCTGGGACCAAAGCAGTCCTGAATCAGCCCCAGCTCTGGGGAGAGAAATAGAGGTTTTTCAGTCACCTTTCCCTCCCTCCCTTCTCACCTCCTTCCTTCCCAGAGGAAAAGCCCAGCTCACAGTTTTCAAAGAGTTAACATAGCTTTGGAAGAGTGCTTCTGTTGTCAGCGCTATCATCCTTCGAGCTAGAAACACCCTCCTTGCTTCGACTAAATCACACCTGAAAATGTATCTTTAAACCAGAAGAGATTCACAAATTGACCACTTCTGTCAATTAGAAACTTCATTCTTCCCTGGAATATGGCTATCTCCCTGGTGTACAGCAAATGCATTAAAGTAGTAATAAACACTCATAAAACACACTTAATGATCTAACATTTAAGAGCAGCGTTCTTGTTCATTACTGTAACTTTCTGCTAAATTACCACCAACAAGATTGCTCATGGGCTCAAAAGGTCAGTGTTATTTTTGCTGTTGAAATCTGGAGTCTGGGAAACAACTGTGTGTAAATTGCTGATAAACTGGAACAAAGACAGAAGAGAAAAACACTGAACATATAAGAATGCAAGTAAACCAGCAGGAAAGGAGGGGAGGGGAAGAATCTCACGGACAGTTTATTAAAAGAACAAAAGAATAAAATCTGGCGCATTTGTTTTCCACGGGTTCAGGAAGCCCGGTCTTTAAGCACCTACTATAAATAGAGTGTTCTAATTCTTCATCAAAGCGGGTAGTAGTCCATACCAAAATGAATGAACTTTAGGTGTAATCTGGGAAGAGGAAGATGGCCCTTCCCTCATAGTAGGAGAAAGATCTTTTGTTTCAATCCTTGCAGAAATTAGATATTTCAAAGTGTAAGAGCTGGAGAGATGGGGCAGACTCTAGAAAGTAGTGTTTCTATACTGCCAGATTCCTGGGAAGAATACTGTAAGAGAATAGAATTAGCAGATGTCTAATTTAGGATTGAATAATCTGTTTTTGAGAAAGATGGTCTTTAATTTATCGTGTGGCTAACTTGGAAGTCCTCGAGGGGTTCCCCTCTGAGTGCAGGCTCTATGTGAATTCTATAAAGTTTAAAAAAGCATTTGATAGGGTTGATAGAGATATCATATAGAAAGAAATAGGAACTTATTTGAAATTCTGAAAAGGACAACTTTCAGCCATTTAACCCTCTATAAAGGATTGAGAGTAAAGAAGTCCCAAAAAGCTAGCTCAGAGCCATCCAAGTTATAAACAAATGCAGAATACAGGAGCCTTACATTGCCTGTAAGAAACAAAGAAGGAAAACCAAAAATCACTGAAAAATCATTTCATCCAAAAAACTGTGAATTGCTTCAGACGAGCTTATTAGATGGCCCAAACTCCATGGTTTTATGGGTGAGACAGCTTCGGCTGAGAGCTTGGCCAGTAACAAAGTAGTATTAAATGATTCAGTGCACCACTCCGGCTCCCAGTTGTATGGGTTTGGGTTTGAAGTTACTCAAAGCAACTCAACAAGAGGTTGAAGAGGTTTGTTCCTTCAGCCTCCCCGCTGGGCTGAACGCCTCCTGGGTCATGTTTAGGGGGGGCACTGAATACTCTTCAGGCAGGTCAGAGCCTGCACACGGCTGTCAATAAAGAGCTACATTCATCCTTAGTTTCACACTTGACAGCACAGGAGGAATACCAACATCCACTGATAGTCAACATCTTGCATTTCTTGGAAGTTATTCAAGCTGTGAAGCAATAAATTATAATAAGGTCTGTCCCTCACGAAGGATGAGACCCTTCCTACCAGGAGGATTATTATGGAAAACCTCTTAGAACTGTACAGACAGGCACAGTCAAAAAAGGACCTCCCGTCCAAATTGCATGGACTGGCCCAAAGACAGAACATACTGAAACGCTTCCCTGTTGGTCTCTCACCAAAGATTACTTACGGCTCCCATGGAGGAGAAGTAACCAGGGCTGCAGTGTGATTTGTGTGACAGGGAAAGGAATTAAAAGGGGAGCATCTGTGGGATAACTCTGCTGCAACATGATGTGGGTGCACAGTTTTCTCCTAAGAAGTGGGAAAGGGGGCTTCAACCCTTCAGTTGAATTTTTCCAATGAGTTGATGCATATCCCCCAGTCTCTCAAGGTTTCAGGCATTCAGGGGTTATATATACAGGGACTTACATTAACACCCAGCCTGGAAACTTCTGCTTCAAAAGAATTTGACCTGCTTTAGAATTTATTTCTGAGTAACACACTCTTATTCCAAAGTGAGAATATCTGTACAAGGTGCTAACCAGAAGTAATATTTCACTTGAGCTGCAGACTCCACTGCAATCAAAACCACTGTAAACAATCCCTTTTTTTCAGAGAAGCGGCAAGATGACAAAGTTTGACATCTTTTAAGGACCCCTCATGGACGGGACGCTGTGAGGCCTCAACAGCACATTCGTGTGGTGAAGGGCAGTATCTCTGGCTCACAGCAACATCTGAAATTGGGCAGACGGTTGCAGCTGCACTTGGCAAACAAACAGTAGTAACCTAAGCTTGACACTATAAATGATGGTTATTGAACTAGTCTCTTCATGAGAAGGCTAGATCCTGGCAAAAGGGCATGAGGAAGACAAAACAGAAGTTTAATTAACTTAACGGGAAAGCAAAAGTCTCCTAGATAAAAGGAAAAGAGTCATTTCTGAGCCAAGTATTTGAAGGGTTCTCAGACCTTCCCAGGCCAAAGAGTGTGTGTAATGCTGACTTCCTTCCAGCTCTGTCTGTGCCAGAAATAACTCGTCAATGGACTATATCTCATTAGTGCACCTTTTACCAAAGCCATTCTTGCAAAAGAAAGCGATACTTGCTGCTGACATGCTGCTGGCGAGCCAGGAAGAAGGAAGCTGCCTTTATGAAGAGTGTAACACATTCCACCGTCCTTCA